ACATTTTTTTCTTTATTTATTTTTCACCTGTAATTTTAAAAATTTCAATAATTATGAAATAACAAAAAAAAACAAATATTTTTTTTATTTTATAAATACAATCAACATTCTAGCATTTATTGATAAAATAATTTATATTATATATTGAAATAGATGAAAATGAAAAAAATAAAAAAACTATCTATCTTATTAAAAGATTTTTATTAAAACTTTTTATTTTTAATATAATTATTGAATTTTTATTTTCTCATGAAATAAATGAGATCATGTAGGGATCATGTAAAGCAATCGATTGTAATTAGATAATTTTAAAAATATACAATATATAGATTATTCTTCATAATAATAAAGAAATATTTAAAGAGAAATATTTACAAAGAAATTTGTTACATCATACATTTTCAATATTTAAAATATAGAAATGTGTTATATACGTGTTATATACGTGCTATATACGTATAATAATATCGTCGTATATAACAAAATAATTATACGAAATTTTATTATAAAAAAACAAAATTTCAAAATTATTTGATTTTTCATTAATATATTCATTTTTATATTATGTGTAGGCAAATATGTAATATTTTGATGAAAATCGATTACAATAAAACATTATAATTTAATTTCATGTATATAAATCTACATCATAAAATATTATAAAATTAGAAAATTTTCATACAAAATTTTTTCATATATGTTATTCGAGATTGTGAATATTTGAAATATTATGAGAAATATATAATTCTTTGTAATGTTGCTGAATAATAATAAATTCAATAATAAAAACACTTCGAGATTTTGCATTTAATAAACATATATTTCTATTCATTAAATAATTTTATTAATTTTCTCAAAAAAAATTATAAATTTTTTGTTTATAACTTTTTTGAATTATATAAATAATTGAATTAAATTTTTTATTAAATATAAAAAGTTTTCATTAAAAGAAATTATTTTTATATGAAAAATCTTTTTCTATCTCTTACAGTTTACGAATTCCAACACAAATATCGAAAAATAGCCAAATTTTCATGGATCAATTTTACTCTCTTAAAATGAATTTAAACAGGAAAAAAAATTATGTATATATATATCGTGTGTATATATAAATATATACACTATATATTCCCAAAGTTTTAAATTTATATATTGGAGATATCTATATATATTTCTCTTATCAGAACGAATATTCTAAAGGAAAGTTTATTATCGATTTTTTTCTCTAAGAATGATATATTAAAAAAAGTAAAATAACTTACTTCTCTTGTGACGAAACATTCAATAGGAAACGTTAAAAGAATAGTACCGCTAAACATAAGTCTAGCGAAGTTCATCAGATCATCATCCCAACAATAATTTTCCATAAGATCACCTTGAACATATGAGGTAAATGTGGCATATCCAATGATTCCAAAAGCTGCAGCGATCAAAAAAGATGTAAATAATGACCAATGAGTGACAATATCCCATTTTTGTTGAGTAGCCCTTTCTATAGACTCATAGATAAGGAAAGTATTATGATGGCACATAAAGGCAAATGCCATAATTCCAACGGATGGAACTATGCCACGAAAATTTGCGATTCGCCAACTATCTTCTTGATTTGGCCTGAAAATTAAATTACGTTTAATTATTTCATTTTTATTATAAACAAAAAAAAACAAAAAAAAGAAAAATAATATATAATATTATATTATATTATATGTGTATATAATAATTTTATGTAAAATACATTACATATATCTATGATCGATAACTCTTATATATAATATATATATGTATATATTTATTATATATAAGAGTATCCATTTAATTACATTTTACATGAAATACATTAAAAAAAGTTTAAGTTTCATTTTATTGTTTTCATATTTGTTTAAAAATTATAAACATATGAATTTTATGATTTTCGTGAAAAATAGTTTCATTTGAATTTTTATTTAATTTTAACAATAAATTAAGTTTCATTTTTTTTTCATTTTAAAAATGAAAAAATAATCTTTTTATATTTTTTCGAATTGAAAAATTATTTATTTAATATTTGAAAATTATAAACAAAATTTTATAAAATTAATATTTAATTTTCGGTTTGACGTCACAGAAAAAAATTCTGTCATAATGCTTGAATTTTTTTGAAATAATTAATCTTATTTTGGTATTATTTCAATTAACGGAATAGTAAGTTGAAAAACACAGTGATGCGACGAGGAAGGAAATGAAAAATTAATAGGAGGAGATGATAATATTATATATGATATAAGACTAATAAAGGGATGTAATGCATTTTTATGATCAAGCAAAAATTTTTATCTTTAATTTCTGTATTGTAGCTTTCAACCGCGTAGCTTTCAAGCTCACAGATCAATTTATGACTTATTCTCAATTGTGTTTGTTATTGCTAGTAAAAAACAAAGATTTTTATTTTCAGTTGCTATATATTATTATGCAATATCTCTTTATTTGTATCATGAATAAATATATGAATGATATTGATTGTTAATAATATTATTGGTAATTATATGAATTATTAATTTGATTTTGTCATAATATGACGTTTCTAGCATTTCCCTTGTTTCTAACTTTCTTGCAATTCTTGTCGTCATTATATTTGTACGCATTGCAATTTTTTTTATGCAATAAATAATAATTTATTAAATAATATAATTTTTAATGTAATTTTTTATTGTGCCGTTGCAAAAAATGTCAATCACCAGTATTATGATACAATAATTTATGAATTTTTTTCTATTTTTATATTGTGTAATAGCTTTATTGAAAGTACATATTATTTTTTTAAAAAATATTTTCTAAAAATATAAAAATGATAGTTATTTATTTGTTATAAATATAATAATTTAAATGTGATTCTAACAATATAATTATTTATAAAATGATATTTCTTTTTTTCAATTATTGTAATTTAGAAAAGTTAGAAAAAAATGTAATTAATGAAAATCTAATTGAATCTAATGGATTTGATTTTTAAAAATAACATTTGTTATACTATAACTATTATTATTATATTTATTACTATTTTTATTATTATATTATTATTATTATTATACTAACTATTATCAAAAAAGTTTTTAAATTGGGCAAATGTTGCTAAATTCGGAACAATGACAAATGATACTTTCCAAAATGACAAGAAGGAATGGCTAATTCATATATCATTAATTTTAAAATATTTTTATAATTTATAATAACATTATTTGAAATATTCGCACGATGTAATGATATCTTAAATATTATGTAAACTTGAACCTGTTGTCAAAACAACTTTAAATATTTATAATATTTAATAAGGAAAAATTTTACATAATTTTTTTTTAAATTTCTATAAAACAAATTAAGATTAACATTAACACAGATATGTATATATTAATACTGAGATATTAATAAAACCACTCGATTTTATAAACTTTAATAAAATAATAGGTATAGAATAGGAAAGATATAATTCGATTCTATAGGGCACTGCACAATTTATTTTATGTGTGATGGAACGCATCCTCTTCTAGTTCATTACTCTACATAATTTAAATAATATTAAAAAGAGATTTCACTACTTCATTCAAAAAAAACTTCAAGAAATTTGATAATATTTTTTTCGATTTTTTTTTTAAATGTAATCTCAAGCTTAAAATAAAAATTAAAAAATAAAATGTTTATGATTTTCAACATTAAAAAAATAATTTAATCAAAACGTATTTATAATTTTTCCATTAACATTTTAAATGAATAAATCCAATGAATAATTTCTCATAGACAAAAATTCAAATATATTTTCATGAAAATTCTATAATTTCCAAATAAATACGAAAATAGCAAAGTGATGATTTTTTAATTTCAATTTGAACTATATTATATTTCAATTTAAGCAAAAATTCAAGACATCAAGTTAAAAAATTTTGATTTGATTAATTTGATGTAAAATAATTTATAAAAAAATAATATTGAAGAAAAAATAATATCACTTACACAATTGTTGACATTGTATCCATCCGAATTAAAATCGCCAAAAGAATAAAACCAACGCAGACTAATGAAAGAAAAGAAATCTTGGCCAAACGAGCTACATTTCTATAAAGACACAACGGTATAGTGATACAAGCAGTAGCAAAGAAAACAACCACTTGACGATGAGCGAAAATGCTCGTTTCACTTATACCTGTTATTCTTATTAACACTTTTGTTACTGTGTCACCAACGACAACATTATAAGAGACCATTGCTGAAAAGGAAAAGACAAATAAATTAATAATAATAAAATAATAAATTATTGATAATGATCTTATACACAAGAACTTCATTCATTTGAAATTCTTCAAAGAGTTTCAATATGAAAATAAATAATATAAAATATATACAAATGAAAATAAATACTTTCTGATATATTTTGTTTTATTAATTTTATTATATTAAATCAATTTTATTGTAAATATTTGAATATTTTTTTATTTAAATGATTTTTCTTTTTTTAAATTTTAATATTTATTCAATTTTTATAATAAATTTAATTTTTTGATAATATTTTTTTAAATATATATTTATATATATTTTTTTAAATAATATTCTATAAAATACATTTAATGTTAAAAATTTCTAATTAAAAAAAAAAGATTTGATATATCTATGCAAGAAAGTTATAAAAACTGATATACCTATAAAAGGATAAATAAATTGCAGGCTTGTAAGAATATAAAACCCCGTACGACCGAAACTGGCTCTCATTAAACCCTGATAACTCATTTCACCACATATATTGCCACTTCTAACCATTAAAATTAAAGAATAGTCAGTTAGACCTGCTATCAGTATTAATAATATTATTCCAAATCCGAATCCAGCTTGATGAAGAGCATAAGGTATACCTGAAAAATATTAATTAATATTTTGTTATCTTTTTGAAAAATTAAAAATATTTGTTCCTCAAATACCGAAATAATTTTTATCTTATTTTTAAAAGTAAATCCAATTTTTCATAATATATATTCTATTATTGTCATAATTCTACAATGTAAATATATCAAAAAAATCTTAAAATAATCTTTATACATGAATATGAATATTATTTGCAAATGTATTTTTAATGAAATAATTTTATTATCATTTAGATTTTCATTAAAAGTTTTTTCACAAAAAAAAAATCATTTTTAACTTTATATTTTAACTGAATGAATACGATTATTAGGTAAATAAATAATTCTTGATGAATTTTGTTATATGAAATGATCGAAAGTATTGAATCAATAGCTTTTTTTTGAAAAAATGAAACTAATACAATCTCTAAATTTAAAGAAAGTTAAGATTCTTAATAACAGCTGAAAACTTTCATAATTTTCTTTGTATAAATATAATTATATTTTTTCTTTTTATATGAAATATATTTAATTTTTAATCTACGCACAAAAATATCTCGAATAATATATTAAAGAAACTGAAAATTCAAGATTAGATAAAAATGAGAAAGTGATGAAAATTTCACATAAAGTTCGTAATTAAAAGTAAATCCAAATAGACTAAAAGTTTGATAATCTAAAGAATTATAATGCTTATACAAATTATATAAATAAAAATAAATTAAATATATAATTATATTACATTATATGTATAATATTAATATAAATTATATATATAATATATTA